TCCCAAGCAGCCCGTCCCACCCCCCATCCGAATCAATCAGGAAAGGAAGAAGACCCAACAGAGGGGAAGAAAACAAAAAACAAAGCCCATAACCCAGGAACAAAACCCGAGTCAAAAACAGCAAAGCCAGAAAAACAGGGGTCCGCCCACTGCAGCAGGAAGCCAAAAGCTAACGCAAACGCAAATATAAACAATCAAGACAGCTTCCAAAGAAGAAGTCAAACTGCAGCACTAGTATGCGTCGGGTCCAGGTTCGCAAGCAAGGGAGAAGCAACAGGGTATAATCGTGCTTTCATCTCACTGATCCATAGCTCCGCAACTCCTTTATCAGCCTTTCTGGCCGCCACCAGCCACAAGAAAATTGCGTGACCAATCTTCATCACAATCGATTGTAAAGGGCCGTCCTCTTCTCTGAATATTCTAGAATTTCTTTCTAACCAGATATGCCAGCAAAAAGCATGAAGAAACACCCTCGAACACCACTCTGCAGGATTAGTGGGTTTGGTGTGATGCCAGAGACGGATTCTCTCTGAAATGTCACCGGCCTCATCACCCCTTTCCTCTATCTTCACAAAACATTTCAAAATGCTCCAAACCTGTCTTGAGAAGACACAACTGATGAAAATGTGATTTGGAGACTCCTCTTAGTTCTTGCAAAGGGCAGATATGTTTGGAAGACAAAACCCTTTTCTCTTAAGGTTATCAATAGTGAGAATCCTTTTGTGGAAGACCATCGAAAGGAAAATGCAGATCTTGCTAGGAATGATGCATTGCCAAACCACCTTCGAAGGAAAGTTAACAGTCCTCGCAAAGCAAGCGCTAGCGAAGTGGTCGAAAGCCGAGTGTACACTGAATCCAGCAGCAGGCGACGGAAGCCAGATGGGTCTTTCAGGACCTGCAAAAAACTTCTGACAAGGGATAGAGTCAAGTAAATTAAATAATCTCACACGCTCTCTTTCAGGCCCACCCCGAAGTGAATAGATTAGAGGAATGTTCTAAATACAGTTTCTCTCAGAGAAGGTTAAGTAATCGGCGATGGTGGAGTTCGGAGATTCAGCCGCGGCCAACACTCTCGAAAATTCCTCTGCCAAGCGAACGCCATTCACCCAAGTGTCAAACCCAAACGAAGTCCAAAAACCATTGCCATGTTCAATGCTAGAAAGTTTCCAGAAAGCGGACTGAAGTTTCATGATGTTAGCCCAAGGACTCCCTCCAATCCTTCCCGACATATTTCCTGGAAACCACTCTGAATAACAATTGGGAAATTTGACGTCAATGATTTCTCTCCACCAAGTTCCTCTCACAAATGCGAATCTCCAATGCCCTTAAACAGGAGAGCTTGATTATGCAACTCTAGATCACGGATACCCAGTCCACCTCTTTTCTTGGCTGTTTTGCAGAGATCCCACGAGACAAGATGGAGTCTCTCTTTCTCCTGGGTGCCCGACCACAAGAAGTCCCGCTGAATCTTTTCCATAGATTTAATGACATTTTTAGGAATCAGGAACAGTGAACTCATGAAAGTACTCTAGCTAGCAAGCACTGCATTAATGAGCACAACTCTGCACCCCCCCCCCCCCCCCCGAGATAGGAAAATCCCTTTCCAACCTTCCAATCTGGCCTGAGTTCTACTAACGCCATTATTCCCGTGCGAGGTAGATGGTGATTGGTAAATGGTTGGTAAGAAAGCCCATTCACACCCAAAAATATCAACCAACCTGTCAATTTTCGTGACTTCGCCGGCAAGGAACATTTTTGTTTTCTCAAGGTTGATCTGCAAGCCGGAAATTGCCTGGAAACAGACGAGGGAAACCAATAGATTACGCACCTCAGATTCATTAGCTTCAAAAAATAGGATAGCATCATCCGCGTAGAGCAAGTGTGTGACTTCCCCACGATGCCTTTCTTCATCAATACAGAAACCGCTAATGTGCCCAACATTCTTAATACCACGACTCATTCCGAAGAAACCAACAGATTCCCCATTAATTAAAATGGATAGTCTCGATGATGAAATCACACCTTCAATCCATTTTCGAAACCTGGAATGCAATCCAAGATGAGTCGGGGATTTAAGGATGCACTCCCAATAGATGGAGTCAAAAGCTTTCTCAATGTCCAGCTTGATTACTAAACCGGGCTTCCCACTTCTTCTTCTACTGTCAATTAATTCATTGGAAATCAAACAAGATTCATGAATCACTCTTCCCCTTTTCCCTGCAAACTGATAATATGAGATGAGAGTGTTCATAAGGGGTTGAAGTCGATTGAACAACACTTTTGCGATTACCTTATTGACGCTTCCAAATAAGCTGATCGGGCGGAAATCAGAGACCTTTTCAAATGGATCCCTTTTGGGAAGCAGGCAAATGATGCATGAGTGATTGATTGAGGGAGAGAGCCAGCAAGAAAAAAGTCATCAAACACCTTTAGCAAGTCGGATTTAATGATGTCCCAAGCTTTTTTATAGAACTCGATCGAATATCCATCTGGTCCCGGGGCTTTACTCCCATTGCACTAACTTAAGGCTTGCCAAACTTCCTTTTCCGTAAAGGGCACCACCAACGTTTCATTGTCCATGGGAGATACCAGGCAATTTCTGTAACTAGTTGGAAAAGGCCTGTCTTCTTCTTCAATAAATTTGGCAGTAAAATGATTTTGAAAAGCATTTTTAATCTCAATTCCATCCTCAGTTTCTCTACCATCAATCACCCAGTCTTTTGATATTCTTTTTCCTTCTATTAGCTTTTGCTATTCTGTGAAAAAATCTAGTATTTTTATCTCCCACTTGAAGTATGATTTCTCTAGATCGTTGTCGCCAAGAAATCTCCTCCATGATTAGGAACTTTTGAAGATCACATTTAAGGATAGCATTCTCGGACGCCAACATAGGATTGCTCAGCCCAGATTCTTCGGCTGCATCAATACTCTTAATTCTGGAGAGAAGCTCAGAAATTCGCTTCTCTACTTTCCCAAAATGATCCCGATTCCATTGTTTAATCAACATTTTAGATTGTCTACACTTCTGACCGAATCTGACTAGGTGACTAGTCCCATTAATGGGGATACACCACCAACCCACCAGGCTCTGCAAAAAGGATTCTTCCTGCAACCAAATGTTTTCGAACTTCCAAGGATGTCCGAGACGATCAATAGTACCCCATTGCAGTAGAATCGGATTATGATTCGACTCGACTCTATCAAGTGCGATTAGAGCCTCAAGAGATAACAACTCTTCAAAACTCGGATTAATTAGAGCTCTATCAATTCGGGAGGACAAACTTACCGTACCTCCTCTACTCCAAGTGTATCTCGCCCCTTGAAGCAGAAGATCCACAAGATTGCACCTGCTGATCAAGTTATTAAATTCCTCCATGATCTCAGCATCCCTAGGACAACCAGTAAATTCCTCCTCCCGACGCGGTTGAAATCGCCAATGATACATAACGCGGCCAGATATTCCCTGCACACTACATCGATTTCTTTCAAAAATTCCAATTTTTCATCCTTCTCCTGCGGACCATAAACGACGAGGAAGGAGATAATTTCCTCAGAATCAATAACCCTCAGTCGAACTGCCAAAGAAAACTGACCTTCCCACACTGTCAGAGCCTTATAAATTGAAGGATTCTAGAAAATTGCAATACCATCGCTAGCTCCAATCGAGTTCTTCGCGACCTAATCACTAGACTTACAACCAATAACGGAAGAAATCAGGCTACTATCACACGACTTCCATTTAGTCTCCGTGTGACCAACAATAGAGGGTTTCCTTCTCTTCAGTAGCCTCTTAATCTTTGCTCTTTTATTAGGGCTACCCAACCCACGCACATTCCACGCAATGGAAGAGTGAGTCATATCAACAATTCACCAAATGCAGCGAGAGGAAATCCACCTAGCTTGATTGGGAGGAGCAATTCCGAGCTCTGGAGATTGGAGGGGGGCAGTCAAGACCCAACCTACGCAGCTCCATTTCCAACTTTGATCTCGATACCCTCTTCCTCTTTCGGTGAGTTTTTGTCGCAATGAGAACGACTTTCTGTTTGGCACTCTCAGCAGAGACCGAGTCCGAGAGCTTGATAATGACACAGAACAACAGGATCTGTGAAACCAGGCTAAGATGGTCTTGCCTAGAATGCCACGAATCAAAATAGTCAGCGTTGAGAGGGATAAAAGGGATGATGGCAAGGCAATCCGAAACGCTAGGTTCAGGAGACTCAGGAAAAGGAAAGGTAGAGGGACTAGAATTCAAATCAGGTGAGGGTGGACTATGGGTTTCTAACTGATAGGTAGGAACAACACTCTGAGCTTCAGGAAAAGGGGGGGATGAGGAGGGATCTAGGAGGAGGAGAGGGGTAGGATGGAAAGGGGTTGCGGGGTGGCGACGGTTGATTGAGCGGGGGATGGTGAGACTGAGGAGGGAGATAACTGAGTCAAAGACTAGAGCTGGAGAGTAAGAGGTCGCGTTGTACAGCACAGAGGAGGGCTTGGGCTTTGGGGGTGGTCTAGGAAGGGGAAAGGAAACAGATAAAAATGGGCCGATCCGAAGTGACCAGAAGAAACGGATGGGCCAGCAGGGGTGGGCTCGGGGAGGGGGAGGGGCTCGGGAAGGGGGGGCGGGTGTCGGAGGTGGTATCCAGGCAAGGGTCGACAAGTGAATGAGAAAGAGAAACGAGTTTGGGTGACAGGCCAAACTTGCGGACCCAAACTTTTCTAGTCCCAATACCATGGGCCGGATCCAAGTGAGGGCCGGGAGAAAGCAACTCATGATTGTCAAGAGGCGGCGCAGCGTGAAACGAGGCATCGCACGGGTGCTTCGAGAAAGAAACCCCACCCAAGGAACTAGAGGCCTGTGAACTTTCATGAGTGGGCAGCTTCCATGCAGTGCACGTTCTAGAAATCTGGTCCAAAAGACGGCGACGAGCCATCGAACGATCGACATCCGGCACCGACACAATTTTGATCACGAAAACTGTTGTTCCCAAATCTAATTGGAAGAGATTCAGGCAAAACGTTTCTTGGCCGAACTTTAATGCGGAAGCACGGGTCAGACTAGGCACTGAGATCAGCCTCAATGAAAAGTCCACACATCTGGCCGATATTCTTGAGACTATCCATCGATCGAAGAAAAGGGGATATTCCAAAGATCATAAGCAACTGCAACCCGCCCGGCGAGGCGAAGCTACGCCCGGCGAGGCGAGGCGAAGCTACGCCCGGCGAGGCGAAGCTACGCCCGTCAACTTCCGTCCAATACCGCAGAATAGGGATGGCAAAAATATCCGTAATAGTGGATATCCGCCCGAATCCGCCCGATTATACACATTCATATATATTTTGTCTAAAAATAATCATTATTTGTCTCTAACATATTTAATATTTAGCATGTAAATATTGTATTTTCATGAAATTGTATTATTTTAATTAATTTTCTTCATTCTAGTGAATTATTGTTGTATTTTTCCTCTTACATAAGGTGAGAATATGCGAGAATGTTAACATATTGGTTGGAGTTATGAAGAAAAATTATTACCCATGGATAACCGTGGATACCCGAAACCCAAACGGGTATGGGCATGGTTTTGATTTTCTACCCGTTTCTTATGTGAGTATGGGTATGGGTAAAACCTGAACTACTTTGGGTAGGATAACGAATATGCACTATCCGAACCCAACCCGACCCATTGCCATCCTTACCGCACAATGACATTCCATTCCCGAAATTTTGCATGACCATCTTCTTGGATCCTCATAGCTTCTGGAAGAGAAGAGCTAACTAGATACCAAAGATCCCCAACCCTATTGGAGAAGACTGGTTGTTCTGACAAACTCCATCGCCTTCTATCCCAATTTACGAACCATTCGGACAGGGCCGATGGAAGTCCCTGGTTCCTATTATTATAGAAACTGATCGTTAGGCACCGGCCAAGGAAACACAATCTATCTTGTACACCCTTCTCCTCAAACTCCATGAAGGTCAGAGAATTGTGGGCTTTGATGGCGCTTTCCCCCATCTCCATAGGAAATCTCTACTTGACAGCATCAGCAAAGGATCGACCGTGAACCACCCAAGCATTCCGCTGAATATGATTCCTTGGTGAAACCTTGAAAGTCGGTCGACAGAGCCTACCAATCAATCCTCCCCATTCTTTTGGAACGAACGGGATGCAGAAGAAGTGCAATCTCCCACACGAAAGCCTTTCCAAAATTTTAAGAAAACTCCCTATACGGCTCGCAAATCTGTCTACAAAGATAACCCGAGAAGGTTCTTTCCTCTGACAATTAGTTTTTGGGTCCCATCCCTTCTGCGATATTTCTCTCAAGGTTTTACCAAGTCACACAGCCTGGGAAGTTTCCAAGTAAACCAGTCTCCTACGCCGACCAGACTCTTCTGCCGAAATCCTCACAAACATCTTCCTGCTTGAAACATAATCCTCAATGACGAAAGTTCTGCTCCCACTGACAGTCTTGAAGTGAAAGGATGCCGACCTGCGGTGATGAAAATCCGAAAATCTGTGGCCAGCTGAATCCCGATCCATCGCCGAGTACCTGTATGCTGTCTTCAACGCCCTTTCTCCCAGGTTCACTGTCCTTTTGCTTCTTCTCATATCGTTCTATTGTTTTGCTGATACTGAAAGGCAAGAAAAAACCTTCCTTGTGCATTCCTTTCCATTTGTTTTATCTGTCCTGTATGAAGATATTTCTTTCTTTTAATTTGATTTCATGTATTGTGATTAGCGCTAGAAGTTTGGTACCAGTATTTGGATATATGGAATACCATACCGAATTTGTCTATATTTGGTATTATCGAATACACGTATTATTTTTTGGGATTGGGATTGGTATTGAGATTGAATTTCAATTGTTATTTGGTATTAGGGTACAGGATTGAGATCAGTATATATGAAATACCGTTCAATAACGAAATATAAGCTAGTGTTTATTTTATCCGCTCAACTAGACTTTCTCATTCACTGCTACACGACCCTCAACCACCAAGAGTGTAATTTAATTATACACAGATCATTCCACCACTATTTCACGACTTAGAAGTTCCCATCCAACTCAAATTTGACTGTACAATTTAAGTTACTCTCGTCTCTCATCTAATATCTTGTTATTTTGATAACACCAAAAATCAAACACTGGTATTAGTCGTCTCTCAACCTCCAATTCGTCAAATTAAAGTTTACCAATGACAAGAACCTGATCTTCCATATCTCCTTATCCATATCCTAACTCTAGGCAAATTCAAGACTCTTTCCTTAGTCTTTGCCCTAAATTAAAAAATAAAATCTAATTTATATATTTAATTATTAAATACCAAGGTAATTAATTTCGTATTCGATGATACCGATTGGGACACCGAATTGTAAATAGGGATACCGAAATATTTAGGGATTGGGATATCGAAATAATTATATTGAGATTGAGATTGATTTTAATGCGTAATTCAATATTCAAAATTTCGATATTTGGTATTGGGATACCGATACCGTCCGATTTCCACCCCTGATTGTGTTTGTCCTTCCTAAAAAGAATTGATTATAGCAAATACATTTTCATGTCTTGATGAATAAATAGTCGAATAATCATCATTCTCCTAGTGTCTCTCGATCAATCTGATGTATGTAGTAACTTCTTATAGCACTTAATAAATTACACGTTGACTTCGTGGTACTAAAAAAAAAATAAACTTATTTCCCTAAAAAGAAAACTTTATCACATTATTTCTCTCTTCATAGTAAAAGGAGAGAGAACACCATAAAAAGTTTAAGCACAACTCGCAGGACTCAGAGATTCAAGAAACTTCCGATTGTCCCAGAAGTCTTGTGCTCTGGAACTTGTCAGTAAACCCCTATATAGATTTTCTAGCTCATTCGTTAAATACATGATGAGTTATTAAGAATCCCCACGCGACAACTAAGATTCCCTAGAAGTAATTATCTGTATATTGGCTTCCTTTTGCTGCTCACTATTAGCAGAAAGACTCTGTGCTTTGCTCTGAGCTTCTTGATCTCCTTCTTTCCCCCAAAGCAGCAAATATAAGCCAACTATCACAACCACGGCACCTATTATGCTGAAACAAGCCACAAATGAACTGTCAGAACACAATCGACACAGAGCCGGAGACAATGAGACATAATGCATGTGAAGACCAAATTACCTTCCCAGGTGGAGCTCTTCCCCCATGATGAAGTAAGCTAGAATCGCCACCAGAATCGCTGAAAGAGGGTTGAAGGTGGTAACAAAGACGGGCCCTTTCTCTTCTGTGCACCACAGCTGAATGAATACCACCAATCCTGACACTACCACTCCCTGCAACAACAACAACAACAACAGACAAAGATCATCTATCAGAATTGCTTAAAAGTTCTGAAATCAGGAATTTATCCCACTTGTTACTGTTTGTCAGCTCTGCTTACACCATAGATGGTAGACCATAGATCAATATTGAAACCAATCGCCCAAGCAGACTTGTTATGCTCTATAATGACTGTGAAGACTGCGGATTGCGCAGCCCCCAACGCGCTCATCCAAGCTGTGAGGGACAGCTGAGCAGGATATCTCTTGAGTGTTAATGCCTGCACTTGCCAAATTGGTAAAAAGGAACAGCTTGGATAAGTCTCTTAATATGCACTCAGCTTTGCTATAAAAAAAAAAAAGAACACAGATTGAGCTAGGCTAGTTTACAAAACCTGCATAATGTACCAAAACGACCATAAAATGCAGCTCGCCACAGTGAGAACTGAACCCTTGACCCAGCTTTCGTGATTGTTGCTCGCTTTCCCTTGTATCTGAACCAGAGGATTCCACAGCTGTTCGATGATTGGACCTCTGTACAGTGTCATGGTCATTACACCGGACAAAGAAACCAAGGTCCCTGCAACTTTAGCTATTCCTCGAGGATTTCGAATATCAAGTGCCTCCAACCTGACAGAGCGAAAAGGGAAGTTGAAAACTTTGAACTGATTGAAATTTACATTATAATAAGTATAAGCCTCAGCTGTTATGGAGAAGAGGAAAGCTGACCTTAGCACAACTGCAGCAACAAATGTGATAGAAGCTACAGTATTGACCATTGAAGCAACGAAAGTTGGAGATGTGTATTTCAGGCTCAGAAAGTACATGTTCAAGGCAAAACCCACCCTGCAGTCAAACATAAACAAAGAGATATGTAATGTCAATTTATATTGAGCTAGCTTATAATCCTGTTTTCTCAGATGCATATTTTTCATTTTGGCGAGGCCTTACCCGACTAGAGACAGAAGGAAGATCTCCAGGAAGAGGGCTAGTGTCAGTTTAGGCCTTTGCTTTCTGCAGGACACCCAACTGATCATCAGCATATGTACAGAGAAAACACAAAGACGAACTATAGGTTTCCATCACCAACTAGTCTGTACCTTTCAAGGAAATATGCAAAGGGGAACATGACCACAGCAGCCACAACGTGACGGTACGTTACATAGACATTCGGATTCATGCCATGGTTGAAGGAAGCCTCAGTGATGAAATAAAGGAAAGTATAGAAAATCTGTGTCAGAATCATCAACAGGTGTGGCTTGAACTTTCTGCAAACTTCTCCAAACCCACCACCACTGCCAGCCTTCATCGTTGCCCGATTAATGCTTTCCTCACTACCTCTTGCTTCTACTTATTTTTTGCTCTTCACCTTCTACTCACCTAAAGCCTGAAGGAAATGCAAAACAACAAAACTGTACTTATAGAACTTGCAGTGGTGTATTTATAGTTAATAGGGACTTTTATTCTTGTTGCCGTTTAAGCATTGAGTTGCTGCTACAGCATCATGTTCCGCTTTGAAATTCTCTTATCTTAACCTGTATCCATGAAATTAAATTCGGGTAAGAACATGGGAATATAGAGAATGAATTTGGATATTTGCAAATTAGATTATGACTGAAGCCAATGGCTCTCTCTAGGGTTGGCAAATGACATGCCACATGCTACAGTACTGCAACATTCCTGCAAATATGAACCATATCTTATAGCTCTTCTCACCCAGCTGCTTCTACTGTTGCAGAAATTAGTTATGTTTCTTTTTCTCAATTTGGGGAGACGGAATTTATACTCTCCTTCCCCAGTGGAGAACCTAGTTGTGTGGTCATGTAAACCAATTTCTAGCCGTAAAATTTAAATGACTTGATGTATTAGGAATAAATTCCTTACTTAGCCAAGGAACAGTGAAGTTGAAGGAGGACAGGTTGGCTGTACACACAGATGATCCCTCCAGCAGGAGTGGCTATTTGGTCCGGCCTTTTTGGTTTTACCCGAAACCAGAATGTATAATCCGGACCGAGACTAGATAGCAAACAATCCAATCCAATTTTTGGGTTTAAATTTGAGGTAAAAACCCGTTCGGGACTGGATCAAAAACCGGATAAGAGAACCCATCACTCAAAACTTAACCCACTCCTCAACCTTTCAGGCCTCAGGCCACTCAAATCCTCACAAACTCAATATAAAATCAAGACTGAATCGGGACCGGACTAGATTAAGGCCGGGTTGTATCCAATCCAATTTTTGTCCTTATATTCCCGATAAGACCGGAATGAGACCGGATCAATTCAGATCAATTTAACCGGACGGAACCATATATCTACGCCTACCCTCCAGCCCCTCCTACACCTAGTTTCACCCATTGACCTGTTACTGGCAAGAGTTACGACGTTACTGTAACCCCCACTATGGATGAGTTTCAAAATTCTTCTTGGGGCTATGTGCTTGGATATTATTTCTACACCTGCTCCTAACTTGTAACGATGTTGTTGATGATTATCTTACTTGGTATCATGAGATCTCCTACTCGATGATCATCGATTTGAGGTATCACTCACAACCTCAAGCTCGTGCACGCACTCGTGGGATGGTTAGTTTGATCAATACGTGCTCTTGATTTTGAAATTTGTTTTAGTTTTATCATAAGATGAACTGAAGATTGCTAACATTTACACTTGTTTTTTTTTTTTTTGTATGTAAATGGCTATTGATGAAGTTCTCGACAGGCTCGCTCCCTTGCTTTCAGAGGCTACTAAGGACACGTGGGTAGGAAAGATATATATATATATATATATATATTTTGATAATGGTGATTGAAATGCATTAAACGTAAACTAACAAAAGACAGTGTCTGGGGAGCATTGGTTCACAAGAGGCTGAACCAAACCGTCAAGAGAGGAACAAAGCAGAGCAGCTGAAATACAATAGAAAGGGAAAGACAAAGTGTCTGGGGAGCAGTGGTTCACAAGAGGCTGAACCAAACCGTCAAGAGAGGAACAAAGCAGAGCAGCTGAAATACAATAGAAAGGGAAAAGAACACACCGAGAAGCAGAAGGCAGAACCACAAAGCTAGCTAAATGGACCAAGCCATTCCTGCTAGCCCAAAAGCTCCAACACACTACCAGACAGCTAACAACGAGAAACCAACACTATAACCCAGCAACACAGCAACAAGAAATCCAAAACAACCACCCAAAAAGATCACCAGTAGTCCAAGGCCAGCCGTTGCACAGAGGCATACTAAGAGCTCTACAGCTTATTCTCAAGCCACTGCAGACCTTGATCCTTGTCCACCTTGCCAAAGGCAATGGCCCACTCGACAGCGTCTCTTAGTACTTTGCGAGAAACAGCTCTAGGATGCAAGCGAGTGCCCTGGAAAATTCTTCTTTCTTTCGAGCCATATCTGCCAACACACCGCATGAAAGGCCCCGAAATGGAACCAGCTATCCACACTACCATCAGAACAAGTAGGCCATCTTCTGATGACAGCGATGATGTCTCTAGTAGGAATCTCAATGATTCTGCAAGCCCTCTTTAATATGCTCCAAACTTCCTTAGCAAACTCACACAGGGAAAAGATGTGGCTGATATCTTCTTCGTTCATACCGCAAAGCTCGCACCTGTTAGCAAGATAACATCCCCTTGTTTTAAGATTGTCCAACGTGAGAATCCATTTGTTGGCCACTAACCAGACAAAGAAACAAATTTTTGTAGGGATAATGTGCCGCCAAACAGACTCTTCCGGGAACTCTTGGATGCCCATGTGATCCTTGTCAGTCAAGAACCTGTACATAGAGAACAGAAAATGAACTTTCCAGACAAGGAAGCCAGACCGGCCTAGGAGGCTCGTTAGTCACATGACTGGAGCCCAAAGAATTAAGTAAATCCATAAGAACAACCCTTTCCCTCTCAACCCCCCCCCCCCCCCCCCCCCTCTTTAAGATTAGTAAGCAAAGGAACAGTCTAGATGATACTCTCATCTGCGAAGGATATGGCGGCTTAGACCCTGGTGTTCGGGAAGCAAGAGGTGGCAACAACTCTTGGGAAAGCATAAGCAAGCACTACTCCTGGAATCCAACAATCATACCAAAGAGAGACCCAGTCGCCATTACCGGGATCAATACTAGTCATCTGCGAAAAATTATCATACTCCTTCAAGATGTTCGCCCACACCGAACCAGAAAACCCCTGCCTACATCTCGCAGTACCCCACTCCGAAAGCTGGTTCAGATATTTACAAGTAATCAAACCGCTCCACCAGCTGTCCCTCTCAGTAGCGAAGCGCCACAACCACTTCCCCATCATAGCTCTATTGAAAGCCGCAAGATCCATAATCCCAAGCCCTCCCCGAGAAAGAGAGGCTTTACAGATATCCCAACTTACCAAAGGTATTTTTTTGTCTTTTGCCCGATCCATTCCACATAAACCTTCTTTGGATACCTTCCAGACTTTTAATAACCGAGGAAGCACGGAAAATGGAGAAATAGTAAACCGACTGATTCGAGAGCACAACCTTAATCATGGTCAAATTACAGGACGAGTATATGGGTTGTATTAACAAGGTTCGTAAGTTGTGGAGGGCATTGCAGCAAGGACCACCACGATGACCATCTCAGGAGTTATTTCAGTTGCTGGATTTGTATTCTCCGTAGTTGTGTGAGACATACTTAATTATACATGTTTTACAAGATTTTTCTCGTGGATCTTTCCTTACAGCGAATAAATATTTAAGTATGTCTCACACAACTACGGAGAAGTATACTGTATGGGAGGTGGTTGTTGACTCGAGGGCTTAGATGGCAGATTGGGGATGGGAGGGGGTGGCTGCCTTAACTGAGTGTTGGATTCCCTCGATCCACCCTGACCCGCCAACGTTTAATCCTCGAATTATTCCAGAAGGGTTGGATCTCAAGGTGGCTGACTTTATTTGCCCGGTGGAAGGTCGCTGGTTTACGGATAAACTTTGTGAATGGTTTCCCCCAGCTGTTTGCCGTGCTATCCGTGGTATTCCGTTGCCTAGGAGAGCTATGGAGGATAGACTTGTCTGGCATATGACGGGGATGGGGTTTTTTCTGTGAAGTCAGCTTACCACCTGGCTGTTCTCATTGATCAGGAGGCCGGGATTGGCGCCCAACAGTTAGTTGGATGGACCGGGAAAGTTGGAACCGGGTGTGGAATCTGGGGATCCCGCCCAAGTTGAAGGTGTTCTTATGGCAAGTGTTACATCGTTTCCTTCCCACTACAGAGGCTCTTATCGGAAGGAGGGTGTTTGTTCATCCCCGATGCCCGGTTTGCTGGGCTGCTCCGGAAAGGATGAAACACCTTTTTTTGGATTGTCGCGTGGCTTGGGCTTTGTGGGATTATGTTGGGTTAGAGCATGTGGGCCAAGGGTTGCCTCGCCATACCTTCCCTCTTTTTCTTAAACGTTTACTTGCCATCATCAGAGACCCTTCGCAGATCATGGCCGTGGTGGTTGTGCTCTGGCGGATCTGGAAGTCGAGGAATTGGGTTGTCTTTGAAGAAACAATTTGGTATTCCGGCTTTACTCCGTTAGTACCACCAGCAGCTTGGGGAATGGGTCTCTCTATCAAGGGATGTGGTGGGGTGTGCCCCTGTGGTTGGTATTCCTCTGGTGTCCCATGCCCCCCTGATACCCTCACTTGTAGGTGGGATGGAGCAGTTAGGCATGGGTCCCACTCGGCAGGTGGGTTGGTGCTATAGGTGTTTGCTTTCCTGAGGTGGATGATCTGTTGCTCGTTGAGCTTTTGGTTCTCTGGGAAGCCATCCTTTGGTGCCGCAACCGAGGGCTCGTGCGCGTTCAATTTGAGGGGGATGCGAAGGTGGTAATTGACAGGCTCAACTCGGCTCAGGGGAGTGATAGTACATCAAGTGCTATTTTTCGAGAAGTGTTGCTCTATCTGGCTGAGAATGCAGGGTTTAGTGTTCGATTCGTTGGTCGGCGTAATAACAGGGTAGCCCATTTGGTGGTTCGGAGGGCCTTTTCTTTGTACCCGATAGCGAGTCGTTTTTTTGATTTTGTAGCCTGGTTACGGCATATGATGTAACGATCTTTTCTTCGGTATCAATATATGTTTATCTTTTGTAAAAAAAAAACCGTGTGTGCTGTTTGTTTGGGTTTTCCCTGAAGCTGTTGGCTCTTTAGGCCCCTATAATCCTGGCGTCTGCCTCCCCTTAATAAAAAAAAAATTATACATGTTTTACCCCTTGTATATTGTTCGTTTCTTAGCCATTTAGTTTGTACATGTTTTACCGCTAATATATAGTTATCTCTTTCCATTTTTTATTTAATACACCATAACCCCTCGCAAACAACATCGTCTGTGTAAATGCCAATTAGTTCCCAACTTATATTCTCTAACACTTTAGTCCGGCGTGGTTGTACTGTTGACTTCCTTGAATACTTGTTTGACTAGGATTGCAGTGGATCGTAGCTACGGCTGCTGTTCTTCTTGTTGTTAACGAAATGAGCTTAGACAAACGAAACAGATGATCGAAGCACAAGACACACGATATACGTGGTATCCCCGAGATTCGGGACTAGTCCACGGGAGAGTAAAGCACTCTCCAGCTACACTCTTATTGATAGATTTCAATGATCTCTCCTGTAGCTTACAAGTAGTTTATATAGCTAGGGTTAGGCATAAGAAGAGAGTCATCCAACCCTAGCAGTGGCCACGCAACACTAATCATGGGCCGAAAAGAGAGAATAAAAGAGAGCTAACTAGGTTACGTGAGTACATGTCCATGCACTAAGTAATATGTACATAATTAACCAACACATCAAGCCCAATACGTCAACACTTGTATCAGCTCTTGACTGATCCTCCAATACATATGAGTCGGATTCAACTGATCCTCCAATACATATCAGCTCTTGTATCAGCTCTTGACTGTTCTTCTTGTAATATCTCCATTCTTTGTAAAAAAAAGTATCTCCATTCTCAATTTACTTGTTTGCTATGCAATCAAACTGTAGCTTGTCACGATAAAAAAAAAAAAAAAAAACCTGTAGCTTGTGTGTTATTAAAAGAAAAAACACTGTAGCTTCTGTATGGAGGCGAAATGCAGGATAAGCTAATTTCACATTCTATTCAGTTTTGTATCGTGCTTAAGCTAGCTCTACATCTTATGATAACTACGTAATTCCATTACAGAATTTTCCTGTTAAGAACGTTGGCCCTAGTGGCAAAGTCCATCTAAAATTTATCAGTGGAACATATAATACAACAGACTGGCTCATCACTCTCTCATGATTCATGAGTCATGAAGCATCAAATTTCACAGCAACACAAGTAACCATACATGCATCACTTTCCTAAGCAAACAAGCATCATCATTCTACTTGAGAACAACGCATTCTCAAGTGCAGAGTTTCCAGGCATTCAGTCATATGAGAAATAACTATAACTCAAGTACAGAATCATGGAGTAACACAGACGTCACTGTATACTTTAGCTGCTGCTGCTGCAATCACACCCTGAAATGGGTTAGTGCAGAATTCCCGTCGAGACCCTTGGAGTCATAGTACGCTATGAAGTCCTTCACAGTTGTTTCCCTGTACAAAGGAGGATTATCTTCAGAGAGCAACTCCTTAATCGGGCCATACATCCTTGTTGATGGATAGAGATGCGGAGTGAAGAAGCAAGCAACAGATATCCTCGGACCAACACGATTTGCCAGTACCCTATGCTCCACGCTCTTGAACTTGTCGTTCGACATCAGCTACCAAATTGCATCAACATAGAAATCATGAATTCCATTTTCCATATCAAGATATTTGCCAACGAAATTGCAGCATAAGTGGATAAGGTGGTGTGTGCTGGTTTTGTTTACCTGCAAAAGATCACCAATGTTGATCACTAGCGCACCAGGAACAGGAGGGACATCAATCCAGCGATTCCCGTAATGAATTTGAAGCGCTCCGATTTGGTCCTGAAGTAACACGGTGAGGAAATCGGGGTCGGCGTGTTTAGTGGTGCCCATGGTTAGCTGAGGCTGAGGGCAAGCTGGGTAATAGTGACCCAATACAGCTTGCCCTTTTGCGCAATCCATTTCTTTGAGGTAGTCGGAGTGGAGGCCGAGCGACTCGGATAGCAACTCGAACAGAGTCGTCCCGAGTTGGTGAACTCGATTCGAGTACTCCATTATCACTTCACGGCAGATCGGCGGGAGTTCTACCGGATCTAGCGGCTCCGGACCCATTACGCAGAACAGGGTGTCCCTCCAATTCGCGTAATCGGACTGGTAGAGGTCGAAATTGCTCATGTATTTCACCTTCCTCGACATCTCTCTGCTGTAATACTCCCTCTTTTCCTCCGCCGGAAGCTCGTGGAAGGCGCGGACGCCGGCTAGCATCGCTTCCAATAGCTTGGGTTCCATCCCGTGATTCACTACCTGGAAGAACCCCACTTCTTCCGCCGCTCGCCGGACTCTGGCCACGACGGTAGGGCGGTTGGTCTCAAGGTGGGCGAAGTCGACGACGGGGATTATGAATTGGGCGTTGTTGCTGTTGTCGGCGGGGGGAAGACCCTCCGGTGGCCGGATGAAGATTCGGGGCACTTCAGTGACGCCGGAGTCAACGAGGCCTTTGACGCCGGCTTTGGACTCATCGAAGGATCTTAGTTCTTGGAGGCGGTCGTAATTGTCCGTCGCGGATCTCCCGGCGGCAGAGACCGCTTCCTGCTTCTGCATTTTCTTATCAGTACTTGTGCTTCTCTCACTCACAAGTCACAAGTGAGAACAAAAAAATATACTTACCAGTTACCAGTATCCAATGTTCATTACGGCATTAGCCTTTATTGGGTAAATACCCAAAGTAACCTTAACCGTAGACAAATGAACAAATTAAGTCCAACTTCCAATAACGTAAAAATGTTCACCAATTTCGAAATAAATTAAAGGGTAAATACAATTTAATATCCAAAACTTTCATTTTAAACAATATAATAGCCAAATCTTTTCGAAAACAATATAATATTCAAATCGTCAACTTTCCGTCCGTTTGACCGTTGGTTGACACTTCAAAAAAGCTTTGTTTAGGGGAAATTGTCGCAATACAACTTTGTTTTCTTGTTTTGGCATTGCAGATGACTGAATATTTAGATATTCTATACCATCATGGTGGAGTCATGGACTTCTCGGGTTTGGAACCACGATATGTTGGTGATTTTTCAGAGAAGATATCGATGGATATTGATGAAGCGTTGTACTTCGAACTTTTTTAAAGTGTCACCTAACAGTCAAACGAACGAAAAGTTGACGATTTGGATATTAGATTGTTTTCGAAAAGGTTTGACTATTATATTGTTTAAAATGAAAGGTTTGGATATTAAATTGTATTTACCCTAAATTAAAACTTTCCCTCGAAATTTAACTTGAATGTTAAATTTTAATGGGCCACTTATTCAATCCTAAATAACTACATCATAATTTGTTGACATATGACTACCACGTATCCTCCATATAACCAAAAAATGTAATTCAACATTTCCTTTTCAAAACTTCTTTTTGAAAACTTTATTTTTTGAATTATATTTTTTGGATAAAAGGTTTATTGGGTGACATTGTAGACACGTGTTAGTAACCGTGGTCAAATTATGCTATGTCACTAGCAAATAATTGAGTTGACCGTTAATATTGACGGTCAACTCAAACATCAAGCTGATGTTGTCCGTTAGTAAGAACATTATTAAAATTTAGGGCCAAAGTTGTTCATTTGTGCAAATTTCGGCTATATTAAAGTATTAACCTAGACGGAAAAAATCTTTGAAAAATTATGTTTTGGTAACTCAAAATTTTCATTATGGCATTTTAGTACCTAAACTTTTTAAAACCTATATAATTGTCGAAGACTTGGATGTTATTTGGAACCATGAATCAATCCACCAATCCATTTGATCAAATCCATGAATCCACCCATCCATTTGATCAAATCCGTTTGATCCACCAATCCACCCATCTATGAATTCAATCCATTTGGCATCTCTAATTGCGCGTGATCTTCTTCCGACACCAATTCGATTATGCGTTCTGGAGAACCAAGGGAACATAATTTTCTGGCTGACGCTGTTCGCCACCACTCTATGGTGGGTACGGATAGAGTCCATAACCTATGGTGTATAACCTTACATATTTTCGGAACGAGTTCATCATCTATTGAAGTTTTCGGAACCAAGGGAACAAAATTTTCGGGCTGACGCTGTCCGATTTTAAGTTGATTTTGAAATTTTTTGCACAGAAGGAACGAGTTCATCATCATCTATTGGATCTACAAATTTTCGGACGAAATATACAGGACAAAAAATTACCACTTCATACCACCCTGGTATAGGAGTGGTATCTTGTGGTATACAATGCAGAAAGTTGAAAAATGACAGTTAATATATTCCTACTACCATGTATTCAACTATTTTACAGTCCGGTATGTTCATACCACCATTATACACTTCCATACACGTGGTATGTTGTAAGACCAAATAATACCAGTACTAAATGCCAAAAAATATTTATTCAAAAAAAATATCAAAATGAATGTCATTTTGAAGAGCACAATTTATCTGACTCATCTGTGAATTTTAAAAAAAATACTAACGTAAAATGAAAGATATATAACACGTCTCATCTGTGAATTTAAAAAAAATACTAACGTAAAATGAAAGATATATAACACGTTAAAATTTAGAAGAGGAAAAATTAAAGGCTTCATAAATGATTATATGACGCTGATGCTGCAGATTATTCATGGTTTTTCACCACAAATTTATGCACTAGTGCTTCCCTCTATAGTATACGCTTTTGAACTTGTCGTTAGTGATAAGTTGTTTCCCCTCAAAACTAGGGGTGAAAATCGGTATAGTATCGGTATATCGATACCAAATATCAAAATTTCGAAATCGAATTATACACTAAAATCACTCGCAATCCTAATTTAAATTAATTCGGTATCCCAATCTCAACCGTAAATATATCGGATTTGTCGGTATCCCAATCGGTATTTGCAATTAATTATTAAATATATAAATTAGAGTATGTAATCTAATTTAGGACAAAGAGACTAGTTAGGCAAAGGGTTGTGAGTTCATCTAGAGCTAGGACATGGGTAAGGAGAAGGGAGGAGATGGTGACATCTCAATTGCTTGTTATTTGTAATCTTTCATTCGACTAATTGAAGGCAAAGAGACGACTAATGAGAGTGTATGCTTTTTTGTTGTTATGAAAATAACAAGAGATTGAGTGAGAGACGAGTGACTGGTAAGTTGAAATAGAGTTGGATAGAGTTATGATTTTGTCAAAGAGAGAGGAATAATCAATGGCTATGTGCTATATTTCATCAATTTTTATTGGTATTTTTCTATAATACCGATCCTAATCTTGTAATCCCGAATGCCGAATAACACTCGAAAATGAATCTCAATCCCTAAAAAATAAATTGGGTTTTGGTAATACCCGAAAGTGATCAATTCAGTACAATATTCGATTATCCCAAATACCGATACGAAACTTCCGGCCCTACTTAAAGAACGGAAGAAAAAGGAAATCCTCGATTAGAAATAGCTTGAGGATGAGATTGGTTGTGTGAAATTTGAATCTTCTGTGGATTAAACTTGCCTGATGAGACATGTTGCCCAAGTTGACGACTACGGATCCAGGGATGGGATTGATGTCAACCCATTGGCCTTGGTGGAGGAACTGAGATGTTTGGAGTCTAATCCCAGAGCTTCGGAGATCAACTCGAAAATGGTCAGCCCCAATTTCTTCACTTTCTTGAATATTCGATTATATACATCTCTGCAATATTAGCGCTGCAGAAGTTTGAGGCGTGAAAGAGTTTACAAGTTAGTACATAGTTGTCTGCATTCCAAGTTTAATTCAAAGAAGAAAAAGGTAATGTGGTGGTTTTTCATGCCTACAAATGGCTGGCACATCTTCATGATGTGGAGGGACAGGAGCCACAAGGCAGTACAAACTGTCCCTCTAATTAGCCGCTGAAGCTTGGTACATATCAAAGTTGGCGTTCTACTTGACCTTTCTTGTTTCACCCCCGGTGTAGAATTCTTTCTTCACCTCATTATCCTGCTCGTGAAACTTTCTAACTCCATCAATTGCTCTCTGCTGGAGCGACTCTGGGATTCCATGATTGAAAGAATCCCCATTCTGAACCGACATAGTGAATCTTGCCAACTGCCGCAGAGCGCGAATGTGGATCATGATCGTTCAGACTTCCAAATCTATGACTGGTATGGTAAATTACGGTTCCAGCATCAGCAATTTATGCCAGATTTGGTAGCGTCCTGCTCGTTCTGCCTCTCCGAATCTGCTGAAATGGTTTTCACCACCCTGTTTCTTTCCTCTCTTTCGTGTGAAGCTGAATGGTCGAGTTTGGAATACAGAAAATGGAGGCGCATGTGGAAGCTAATTTATCAAAGGTTAAGATTAGTATTTTGTCGAGCAGTTGAGAGTCCAGTCAAGATGATGCAGCTGACGTCTAGCAAAGTGCAGTAGCAGTTTTTGTTTACTGCCTCCAAAACTGAAATGCATGACAATTGACATACGATGAGATCTCTGGTAATTGGTGACAAATGCAATGCATTGAACTAAGGAACTGTCCACTTAAAAGAGTCAAACAACTTTATCTTTCGTTGCCACTAAAATGGATTCTACTGAGACAAAAATTTGATCTTTTTTTCCTGCCAAAACAATTTACAAACAGGCCAAGCTTTATTTCTACCCTAACATCCACTTGTGGAAAGACATTTATTCTTCTATGACATTATTGTTCACCGGATGCTCATGAAACTGCATATATGTCCGCATCCGCCTTCTGCCAATAACTCAGAGTCTGAAAACTTCCAGAGCAGAGATCCCATTAAGCCCTTTTGCTTGGTAATGTTCAACAAATTCCTTCACAGTAATTTCCCTAAAAACTGGCGGATCCCCTTCTGATATCAGCTCCTTAAGCGGGCCATAAACTCTGGTAGAGTTCTCAGGAAGCAGATGCTGTGGTCTCAAGAAACATGCCACTGAAACCCTAGGGCCTATTGATTTAGCAAGTACTCTGTGTTGGGAGCTTCTGAATTTGTCATTAGAGATCAACTGCACACACATTGCCAGAGAATGCGAGGGTGAGAACCAGCTAGTTTTAGTAGGACTCCGAAATATGATAAAACAATTTAACAAGCACGGTCCAGTTTTACCTGCAACAAATCTCCCAGATTTATGACAAGAGCATTTGCTGTGGGCTTTACATCAACCCACTGATCATTACAAAGGACCTGAAGACCGCCAATTTGATCTTGCAGAAGCACGGTAAGAAAGCTGCTGTCAGAATGGCTGCTAATTCCTATTGTCGAATCCGGTTCAGGACACGCCGGATAGTAATGACCCAGAAACAACAATGCTTCCGAGCAACCTATATTCGTAAGGTAATCAGGGTTCAGCCCCAATGCTTCAGAAACCAACTCTAACAGCTTCCTTGCCAGTCCCATCACTTCGTTCGAGTAATCAACCATCATTTCCCTGTTCCAAATTGTTTCTTTCTTATTAGAGATAGCAAGCTGACATGATTGAGTTATAATCTTATCTTTCTAATTAGTCCTACAATCCTACCACTCACAACTCGAATTGACAGAAGCAAATTCATGAAGAGAAACTTCATGTTAGAAATTTATAACAAGTTTCAACATGAATACTGTTTATAACGCACCCGCAGACTTGGGGGAGTTCCTGAAGGTTTGGCGGGCGTGGAGCCATGAGACAACTCATAGTATCCCTCCAGTTAGCTGCCGGAGACTGATACAAATCGAAATTGCTGTTGTACGTGAACGTCTTGTAAGCAAAGTCCCTGGTGTAGAACCCTCTCTTCACTTCAGTATCTTGTTCATGGAACTCCTTCACTCCATTAATGGTCTTATCCAGAAGCGGTATGGGTATCCCGTGATTGATCACCTGGAAAAACCCAAATCTCTGGCAGGCGTCTCTCACTTGCCCAATAACCCGACGGCGCAGATTTGGGTCTCTGTCGATAACTTGCAAGTCAACGGTCGGGATGACGGGCAGCTCGGCCTCAGGGTCCCCTGAATTTGATTTGATGGGAGCTGCGTTGTGCTGTGAGTGGAGGAATATCGACGGGATTTTCGTAATCCCGGCATCTGTGAGCCCCTTTACGCCGGCTTTCGTGTCGTCGAACGTCTTCAGTGCAGCTTTTCGGTCGAAATCGGAGTCCTGTGATGCGATTTGGCTTGCCATACTCGATAGATGAAGCAAGCAAGATTCAGACTTCAGAGTATCCTCATGCACCTAAGACGCTTGGTAGAGAGAGCTTTTCTCTCTGTCTGCTCCGATTCAGGATCAACTACGTACTGCTGCAGCAAAAACAACAGAGCAGCGAAGCGCAACCATCTCCTTACCGGATCGTTGCCTTAGCTGGAGTTCTAGCTATTGAGGAGTTTTGAAAGGGTCTGTCCATCTCTCTTTGCCAGCATATTAGATCTGAATCTCTGGCTCCCCTCTCCGGCGTACGCTCTCCTGCCGTCACAACTCTCCCCTCTTCTGAGTCAGCCTTGACTGTCTCGTTCACTGCGTCACAGTTGTGGCACCTCGGCGGAGCACAGATAGTTGAGATTCCGTCATCTCTGTCGTTGAGTACCGAAAATGGGCTGGAAGAGCTTCCAATAGCAGCATAATTATCAGTCCCTTAGTTAGATCTGAAGCGTCTTTAATCTAAAATTAGTTTTTTGCCCCTCTAGTAAGAAACTACTTATATTTAAAATTTCATCCACTTATTTATTGTTTTAATTAAAATAAAATAATTCACAAAATAATTTGGATAAAATATTTTCATAATGTCTTGATTATCACGGAAGACTCATGTAATACATTTATCAATTGATATATGAGAATAAATATTCCTTCATAATGCTTATGTAATGTACTTTTAATTGATGTAATTATTATACAACAATGATACATAAATCTTCTGTAATTTGTGGCCTAATTATAACAAAACGAAATAATGAATAATTCTCACATTTGATGAAACTATTATGTAAAATTAACTTGCATACTACAAATTAATGAGATAGTAAATGTTGTAGGCAATAATGAAGGAATTTTATTTAGTAATAAGTGAATTAAGTTATAAAAAGTATCACATTTGAATAAAATATTATGTAAAATTAACTTACATTCTAAAACCTTTGTGTAGTGCAAATTGATGAGATGGTCAACAACTTAATTAAAATTTAGAAAATTTCATTCAAACTTGTATTATGAAAGATTATGTATTATATTTATTTAATTTATACATAAGAAATTACAATTTTTTTATAGAAATTACGATATATCCAAAGCTTTACATAGTTTCTTTATCACTACGAAATTCTTATAACTAATTAACTATATTATGCTTTACTGATACATCAGGAATTACTATTTATTTGTAAGTTTTACTTAATGTATTTATAATTTATATAATGCTTATAGAATAGTGTTATATAAATCTTCCATAATATTTTAAGAGCACAACCTTATTGCCAAGAGAATCGATAGAGTATTGGTTAATGTCCTGTGGATTGATATCTGTAATTCTAGTTCTGCTTAGTATTTCATCGTTCCTCGACATATTTATGCTAGGTTGTGCTCGTTTGATACATTTCAGGTCCTAGCACGTGTGGAAGGGTCGAGGACGAGTTCTGGGATATTTGGAGGTCAAAAAGCGCAAAAACCGAAGGAAAGTCCGAAGTCCGTGACAATTGCCCTGTAGTAGTGAATTGAAGGCGTACAAGAAACAGCCGCAGTTCCCGGACGAGGCAGTTCGCGGTCTCCTAAGACCGTGAACTTTGACCACAAACCGTGAACACCGAGGCGTCCAGCGAGGTTCCTGAAGTTACTGACGACAAGGCAGCTCACGGTCTCTAAGACCGTGAACTGTGGCCATTGACCGTGAACCCAGGACAGTGAGGCGGTGCGTTTTGGACGACGCTAAGTACATGGACTCCTTTAGGTGTTCACGGCCATGAACTGGCCAACGCGTCCGTGAACTGGTCGCTTTCGGGCAAATATGAAGACAACAGCGGGGAGAGAGAAAGGGGAGCTGGGTTTTGGGAGAAGAAACACTTTCTTTCTCTAGGGTTTCAACCTAAACACCAGAGTGGAGTTCTAGTGAGAGAGAGAGAGAGAGAGAGAGAGAGAGAGAGAGAGAGTGTGTGTGTGTGTGCTAGAGTGATTTTGGAGCATCATTGGAGGCTTGGGTGGAATATTCAAGCCTAGAAGAAGAAGAAGAAGATCTTGAGCTCAAATTTGTAATATTTGTCTCTCTCTCTCTCTCTCTAGAAACTCACTCTGTTCTCTTGTGTGTTGTAGATCCCTAACTAATACTTTGTAATTACTTGTTTAGATTGAATGATTGTCATTAGGTAGTGATTAATTCAAGGATTGAGGTATTATTTATTAGAGATAATTAATAAAAGAATTTTATTTCTTTTATTATTTTTCTCCCCACTCTTCTGTTATCACCCTCTCCCTCACTCTGCTGTTCCTATCTTTGAAGAACATGCTCAATGTAATTAAGTTAGTTTTTCACAATAATACAATTCTTCAAGACTTCTATCATGGTATCAGAGCTGGCCAAGATCAGCCAGCCTTGATCCATCTCCTCAACAGCCTTGATCCATCTATTGTTCTCCTTCTCAAATCTCTCAACAGTAGCCTTCTTCTTCTTCTTCTTCTCTTCAGTACTGCACTATGTCGAACAAAACAGTCTCCACCTCTATTGCCGCTACTATTTCTGAAGATGCCATCATCACATTTAATCCCGCTGCGCAGTTGTCGCTAAAATTGACCTCGACCAATTTCAATTCATGGCGGTCTCAACTGGAAACCCTGCTTATGGGTTTGGAGCTCATTCATTTTATCGACGGCACTGGCGTCCCTCCTCCTCAGACGATCACTATGGATGGTTCCTCAACTCCCAATCCTGACTTCCGTCGTTGGTATAGGCAAGATAAGCTCATTCTTCACGCTCTTCGCTGCTCTATTTCTGAGTCTTTGTATTCGTACGTATTTGTTGCGGCCACATCCCGTGATGCTTGGTCCATTCTGGAAATGCTATATGCCAATCGCTCTCAATCCGCCTGATTAATCTGAAAGGGAAATTGGCTTGTACCACCAAGGGTAGTAGTGATGTCCTTACCTATGTTAATGACATGAAGCTTATTGCCGCTGAACTCGCTCTTGTGGATGCTCCAATGTCGGAATTGGATCTCGTTGTTCATACTCTTTGATATCTAGGTCCTGATTATAATCAATTTGCAGCGACAGTTCGTGCTCGGGGCACCACCGTCACCATTGAAGATCTTTTGGATTCCTTGATAGAGTACGAGGCTAATCTCAAAGAACAGCAACGTATAATGGCTATTCCCACAACCTTCTTCACCGTCGGGCCTTCCCGTCGTGGCAATAGCGGCGCTCCTCTGTTTCATGGTGGCGGCGGCTACTCTGGTCGAAATAATTCCACTCGCCATTCACGTGCTGCAGTGGGCATTGATCAGCGCCCATGATCATCTTCCCATGGCCCATTACCCTTTAAGAAGACAGGGCACCCAACTCCCTCTTCCAACAGCCCACTTCATTTATCGGAGCCCACTCGCCTAAGGAAGCCCACGGTCGTCTGCCAATATTGTGAGCAACCGGGCCACTCGGTCCGCCAATGTTTTAAATTATTTCCTCAGGTTCGTCAGGCATTTAATCAAGCCCGCCAGGATCAGGCTCATCATACCACCTCTGTTTTGGGCTCAACTCCTTCAACTGGGCCTTGGCCTTATGGATACAGCTGCCACTCACCATGTGACTTCAGATTTGGGCCATTCTCTCTGTTCTGATTATATGGGCTCAGATGAGATTATTGTTGGTGATGGTTCAGGTTTGACCATTTCTCATATTGGTTCTTCAACTCTTCCTTTCGGCCACACTCATTTTTATTTGAATGACATATTATGTGTGCCTAACATCAAACGACATCTTATTTCGGTCGCTCAATTATACAAAACTAATCCTCTCTCGGTGGAATTTTTTGCCACTCATTTTCTTGTGAAGGATCTTCGCACGGGGGCACATCTGCTGAGGGGGGAAAACAACGGTGACATCTATGAACTGCGTCGCGATGTGGACAAAGTTCGAATGCCCTTGGTTACTACCCCGGACGAGTGCTAATGCTTGGCACGCTCGTCTTGGTCATCCTTATCATCACTCTCTTACCAGTCTTCTTCGCTCATATTCCCTTCCAGTTTCATCATCAGTAGCTAGTTCTTCCTGTGATGCTTGTCTTTCCAATAAAAGTCACAAACTGCACTTTTCTGTTTCTTCTTTATCTAGTATGCATCCTTTTGACCTCTTGTATACAGATGTTTGGGGACCAGCTCCTGTTACTTCTATTGATGGTTATTTCTATTATTTAGTCATCATTGATCATTTTACTCAATACACTTGGTATTATCCTTAACGTCGTAAATATGATGTTCTCCAAGTTTTTCTCAATTTCAGGAAAATGGTTGAAAATTATTTTTCTACCACTATTCGTCGTTTATACACGAATGGTGGTGGTGAATTCCAAAAGTTGCACTCTGATTGCTCCATAATGGCATAACCCATCTTCTCACCCCACCCTCATACACCTGAGTGCAAACACCGTCATTTGGTTGAAACTGGTATCACTCTTCTTCACCATGCAAAACTCCCCACTTCATTATGGTCCTTTGCTTTTTCAATCGTCTTCCCTCCTCCGCCTTACGTGGTAAAGTTCCTTACACACTTTCTTCAATTTATCCCCCAACTATCATAAACTTAGTGTTTTTGGTTGTCTTTGTTATTCCTGGCTACGTCCCTATTCTCCTCATAAACTCGCTCCTCGTTCCCGCCCGTGTCTATTTCTTGGTTATTGTCCTCAACGTATTGCTTATAAATGTTATGACACTGCCAATCAACGTCTTTTCTTCTCTCGTCATGTTGAGGATCAATTTCTAGGTTTTCCATCTGCTCCATCCTCTCCTCTGCCTACAGATGCTTCTTGGGTTGTGGATTCCTCTCCACCCATTACTATTCTTCCAGGCCCCGGCTCTTCTTCTCTATCCGCATCGCCAATTGGGCCCAGCCAGACCCACCTTCCCTCGACAGCTGCTCCTCCAGCGACGGATCCCTCCTCCTCTGGGCCTCACTCCATCGCCGAGGATATTTCGGCCGCCTCATCCTTAAGCCTCCATCTGGGCCTACAGTACAAGCCAGCCCACCACCGCCTCCCCTTCGCACTCACTCTATGAAGATTCGGGCTCATGCTGAGATATTTAAGCCCAAGAAAAGGTTGTTTTTTGCACAGGCTGCTCCTAGGCGTACTCCTCTTCAGGCTCTGTCCGTCCAGGAAGCACTCCGCTATACCGAATGGCGTGCTGCTCTCTCTATAGAAAATTCATCTCTTATTGCTAATCATACTTGGGACCTGGTGCCGCGCATGCCTCATTACAATGTAGTTGGTAATCGCTGGGTATTTCGAGTTAAGCATCATTCTGATGGTGCCATTGAACACTTTAAGACTTGCTTGGTGGCCAAGGGTTTTCATCAGCGTCCTGGTCTGGACTTCCATGACACATTTAGTCCGGTTGTCAAACCCGTTACGGTACAGACTGTCTTCACCTTGGCTCTCTCTCATAATTGGCCTATTGCTCAGTATGATGTCAACAATGCCTTCCTTCAGGCTCCTCCCTCTGAGGAGGTTTATATGAGTCAACCCCCCGGTTTTGTTGATCCTACTCGTCCCCATCATGTTTGACGTCTGCGCCGCGCCATCTATGGGCTTCGCTAGGCTCCTCGGGCTTGGTACAATTCCTTGACTGATTTTCTTATTGAGTTTGGCTTCATGAAGACCACCTATGATGCTTCTCTATTTGTTTACTCACAGCTACACTCGCCTTGTTTCAGGCTTCTCTTTCTGAGCGATTTTCCCTAAAGGCCCTGGGTGATGTCAGCTACTTTCTTGGGATTGAAGTAATTTCCACTCCTACTAGACTATCACTTCGTTCGACAGTTGGTGCAAGCTGGTCGACTCTGTGTTTCTCACATCCCTACTGCACACCAACTTGCCGATGCTCTCACCAAACCATTGCCTTCCACACGGTTCCTTCTTCTTCGATCCAAGCTTGGTGTCGCTGACTCCTCTGCACACCAACGACAGAGTGAGGCAGAGAGGGATAACAGAAGAGTCTCTTCTGTTATCCCTCTCTCCCTCACTCTGCCGTTCCTATCTTTGAGGAACATGGGCTGCTTCTGTTGCTACAATTGCTCCACTATATGTGTACAATTAGCGGTAGAGAATCTCAATGTAATTAAGTTAGTTTTTCACAGTAATAATATTCTTCAAGACTTCTATCATTATTCATATCGATTGTGCATGCTCATGCTTAGCAATCTAAAGGTTGTGCATGTTTTGTGTTTAGCATCCTTAGGTTTGTGCATTACGGTGCTTAGAAACCTAAGGATTGTGCATAATTCTGCTTAGCACCCATAGGTTTGTGCATGTTGGTGCTAGCAATATAATTAGGCACTTTAGCCTAGGTTAATTTAGGGCAAACCTCAATGTTGAATTAAGCAAATTGGTTAAGCGTGATTAAGCCGTCCAACCTTGAGTTGAGTAAGGGAGTAAGTCAACTACCGATTGTCTAAACCGAGAGGGTTGAGTGACACGACCTTTCATGCTTACCTCAGTTTAGCAATTGAGATTGTGGTCTCCGACCACATAAGGATCCCTCTGCGGTTCGTGATTACCAGTTTGCATCTAGGTTGGCTGTGATTAAGCCGCTCAAACTCCGGTTTGAGGGAGAGACCTAGGAAACCACTAGAGCCTGAGTGAGAGGATCGATCCCGTGGCAAATCGATCCCCAGCGAATCCATCCCGTGACAAATGGATCGCTAGTTGCTCCTCCTAGCGGTTCCCCTAGAATTGGTGAGTGGATCGATCTCGTGACAAATCGATCGCTAGTGAACTGATGCCGTGACAGATTGATCACTAGTTGCTCACCCCGAGGTTCACAACCACCTACGCCTCACGACTTCATTAGATCCAACAAGTCATGGTAGCTAGTTAGGGGGAAGCAATTCCTGGGTGAAGCTCCCTTAGCTAGACTTTTCCTTTATTTACTTTTCTTTGCTTGGTTAGTTTGTAGTTCCAACAAACCTAAACCCTAAAGTTGCTTGCTAGATAACAACCTAAGCGATTGAAGTAGGGGTACATGGACCGACCCGGGTTGACAATTTAAATACTTTCTCTATACTGCACCCGACTAGGGTTTAAAAACTTGGGCTCTAGTCGGGATTAATTTGTGGTGTAGTTTTGTGCGAGTCATACTTCAAATTCTGGAGGTCACATCCATAGTATCAAGATATACTCAAAGAAGCTTGGGATGCCACTATTAGACCTGATCCATTTCAGAATGTAATATGGAAAATGAAGCGGTTGAAGAAAGGGCTTACTGTCTTGAATAGGACTCAATACTTTGACATTTTTAGTGGAGCTCGAGAGGCTGAGGGTCAGTTGGTGGAAGCATATTCTATAGTCTTGACTTCACCTACTCCTGATAATGTTGCAAAGGAGAAGGATCTTGCGATAGCTTGCTCTGAGTTGCAAGCTGCTGAGGAATCTTTTTATAGGAAGAAGTCAAGGGTGGGGTGGATCAATGAAGGGGATGCTAACACTGGTTTCTTCCACAACTATGTGAAGATTAGGAATAAGATGCTCACTATTGACCATCTTCTTAATAATGAAGGGAAGGTTGTTTCTGATGTTAAGGAAATGGGTCAGCTTGTGGTGGACTTCTATAAGAAGATCCTTGGAGAGAGTAACCCTGATGTAATGGACTTGCCAGTTAGTTATTTCGAAGGGTTGCTTCATTCAAAGCTCTCGCCTGCTGATGTAACTTGTGTCCTAAGACCTGTTACAAGGGAGGAAATTCGCTCTGTGTTCTTTGCTATGGCACCAGGGCCTGATGGCTACCCAATTGATTTCTATAAAGCAGATTGGGGAGTCATTGGTTCTGACATTGAGGCAGCTATACTACACTTTTTTCAAACTGGTATGCTCTCCCATGAGGTAAACTCCACAATCATTTTGACACGCTAAAACACAACACCAAACTGCAACCAAGTGCAATCGCAGTATGGAAATGCAGTAAGTGGCAAGCTCTATTTGTCAACCCGGGGCCTAATCTTACTGCCTACTCCGTGATTATTTATTATCTAGAAAACTAAGTCGAGTGATTTTGATTTTAACTAAAAGCAGTAAGAAAGCAGGAAAATGTTCAAAGTTCTTTAGCAAGGGGAGAGTCACTCGGGAATGAGTACCCCTAGCTCCTTAGTTAGGTCACATTTGTAATTACCCTGGGTTGATTAACTGTTGATTAAACTGCGGAAGATCCGACAGTAGCTTGGAATCTCTTAAGCTGACCAAGCCCTCTCAGTCCAACTACCAGGCAGGCGACTAGTCTTCACCGGGATAGAAAGCTGAGGCTATGAACACAGAACTCCACTACTGGAACTGGATTCCAGTACAAAGTAGTAAATCGACTAACTCTCGTATAATCAATCTACCACTACCGATTGATGAGGCTCTAACAACCTAATCAGATTCTATCTATCTCAAGTTGCAGCAGAAATCAAGAAAAGATGATCAGGCTTCAATTGACTCAATGAATCATGCATCAATCAATTAAAATCAATCAATATAACAATCCCAAGTTATTAAAATCAAGATACCTAACACATGGAACTAGGGTTCTTCATACCCAAGTAAGAGAGGGTCCTACTCCATAGAGAGAGAGAGAGGAAAACAGAAATTAGAGTAGTCATACTCATAAAGATGAGGAAAATCTACTATGGGATGATGATCTTCACTCCTATGATGATCTCTAAGCTAGATTGATGAAACCTAGCTCCAAAATCACCTCTAGGATGTGTTCTTCGCACTTTCTATCTCTAGGGCTCTGTTTTCGCTCAAAAACTCAATTCCCTCTCCTTTGGCTCGAAATTGGGTTAAAACCCAAAATTTCCCGACCACACGGCCGTGTGGCTTTCCAGTCTGCCCGTGTGGATGTGAAAACGCCGCGTTTCGATTAGTGGACTTCAGGCACACTGCATGGCTAGAAGCACACGACCGTGTGGATTTCCAGTCTGGCCGTGTGAGCTCCCTGGACTTTCCACACGGCCACAAGGGGTCCCATACACTGCCAGTGTGGCTTGGCCGCGTAATGGGATTCCACACGGCCGTGTGGCTGCTAGGTCTGGCCGTGTGGATTCCTCAGCTCCTCGCCAGACGTCCAACTTTCGTTCAATCGACCCAAAACTCGCTCCCAAACCTCCAATCACGTACTAGGACCTGAAATAACACAAACGAGAACAACCTAGCGTGAAATCGGCCTAAGATACGAGAAATGAGGCTCAAACGGCATAAGAATGGTCAATGGTGGATAAAAACATGTGTATATATCAAGTCATCACATTTCTTTAATGACTTCTGAATTGGTTAAAGACTACCACACGAAATCAATTACCCCTAGATGTGTAGTTAAAATAGATCCGATGAAGGCCTTTGATTCAGTCAACTGGCGGTTTTTGTTTAGAGTAATGAGTGCTATGGGGTTCCCGGATTGTTTTGTTGATTTGGTTATAGCTTGCATTACCTCTCCAAGCTTTAGAGTTGCATCTAATGGAGGGCTTTGTGGGGTTTTTCATGCGGGAAAGGGTCTTAGGCAAGGGGATCGACTCTCCCCTTACCTTTTCACCATACCCATGGAAGTTTTCTCATGCACGATATAAGGCTGCTATTGAGAATCATATACCCTACCATCCTAGGTGTAAGAAGCTAGAGATTACTCATCTGTGTTTTGCATATGACTTGATTGTTTTCTCCAATGTCTTTGTGAGAGGGATAGCATGTAGCAGGTATTAGGCGTTTGTTGGATGCTTTCTATCTGGTATCAGGTCTTAAATGTAACCATGAGAAAAGCCAGCTTTTCTATGCGGGTATTTCAGAAGCAGACTGACTCACTTCTACTGTCACCCTAGGAATTGGCCAAGTGAAACCACTTCCTAAAGCGTAGTATAGCGGGTTTAGGTTTAATTATCAACCCGGGTCCTAGATCTGATGACTACTCAGTGAATTCTTGTTATCTAGCAATGAAACTTTAATGCAAGTCTAAACTAACAAACTAACAAAGCACGTAAATTGTTGTATTCAGGTTAAGAGAGGTCACCCGGATATGGTTCCCCCTAGACTGCAGTTAAGCCGGATTGTAATTACCAAGTTCAGTTTCTATGATAGTTATACTGCGGAAGGTTCTTAAACAGCCTGAAGTCTCGACTAAAGGTCTTCAGACCCTCTCAATCTGAGTCTCTAGCGGGCGACTAACCTCCATCGGAGTAAACAGATTGAGGCCTTAACAAACAAAACCTCCACTACCGGAGTAAATCCGGTACAGAATAGTGAGTTGGCTCCTCGACTAAAGTCACCAACTCCCTACCTTCAATCAAGGATGCTCTATCAACCTAGGCAGATATTCTCATTCTAGGTCAAAGCAGAAACAACAGGAATTTGATCAGGATTCAAGTCATTCAATCAATCAAACCTCAATTGAATATAATCAAATCATAGATTCAGTACTTGGGTTCATACAATCAAAGCCTAACATACAAATCTAGGGTTCTCCATACCCAGATGAATGGGAGAACTACTCCATGGAGAAAGAAGCAAAAGCAGAATCAGACGCGGAATTCATACTGTGAAGGATGGATTCCTGCTCCTGGACGTTGATCGACACTTCTCCAAGCTCAAACTGGCCTCCAATGGTGATGAAGATCAAGCTAGGGCACTTGGAGACTCTTGTTCGTCGCTTTCTCTCTCTAGGAATCGTTCTCTTTCTCAAAAACTCGAATCCCTTCGACTTGTGGCTGAAAATCTGCTTAAAAGCAGAAAATCCCGACTCACACGGCCAGGGTGGCACGGCCGTGTGGCTTACCCAGTTGCCCATGTGAGTCAAAACGCTGCGTTCCAATTAGTTCGATCTTCAGGCTTCTCACACGGCCAGGGTCGCACGGCTGTGTGAGATTTCCATCTGCCCGTGTTTGCTCTCGGCGAAACTCGCACGGCCAAAGTGGTCACTTGCACGGCCGTGTGAGTTGTGGGTGTGCCCGTGTGACCTCCTTTGTGACTTGTCTCGTGCCCGATCTTCGCCCAATCGACCCCGAACTTGCTCCTAAACCTTCATTCACTTTCCAGGACCTGAAATATCACAAACAAGAACAACCTAGCGTGAAATCGGTCTGAAACACGAGAAACCACATCTCAAACGGTGTAAGAACAGGGGTGAAAACATGTGTAATTAACGGTCTATCAAACTCCCCCACACTTAACCGTTTTCTTGTCCCCAAGCAAACCTAACTCAAACCAATGCAACTCTCTAGACCTCTATAGCAACAAACAACCCAGATCGTAGGTAGAGGACTTCCTAGATCATTTAGTAGCTTACGAGGTCAACCGACGCATAAGTCATCTCATAGAGCCTTCGGCGAGAGCACTAGTATCGAGTCGGCATCATGGAAAACAGTGAACAGAGGACAAATTAATTGTGGATGAAGAGATTCTCAAAAACAAAGGATCATGGACACACATTTTTCAAGGTGCTCTATTTTCTTCTTGAAGATGGTTGGAACCCCTTTTCTTTCTGTTTTGCTTGTTTTCTGTTATTTTTTTTCTTTTTTTTCTTTCAAGGGTCCCAACCTGCTCTTACCGGCCATGCCAGGAGCGGATGTCTCGAGCCTCGTGCGGGGGAAAGACATGTAAGGGGGCTGGAGGTAGTAGGTGGAAATTGGGAACGAATTCCAGTCTCCCCTTACACACTTTCGCCCTATTCGCACGGGAGACATTATTTTGAAGCACATTTTCGAGCACCTGTTAAACTCAAAACATGATACAAGAGTCCATGGCAGGTAGAGAATCCACAACATCACACAATTCAAGGGTCCTAAAATCACTAATTCACTCAATCAACCAACACAATATGAAGAAGAAATGAGACTTCTTAAATCCATCAACATCCTCCATAGTGCTACACTACCTCCCTAGGTTGCATATTACTATAAAGACTGTCAATTCAAAGCATACTGAGCAGGCAATTGCACGGAAACACGTACTTGGAGCCCTCAAATTTAAAAATTTGGACAGTGGACTAGGCTCCAAGCACACAAACAGATCTAATGCAGTCAAAAGATAAACATCCCCCCACACTTAAGATCGACATTGCCCTCAATGGAGAAGAGGGAAGGGAAAGGGAAAGATGTTACCGGTATGCACGGACTGCAGGAGACTGGAAGCGGACTGGAGAGAGTACTAGTCAAGACAAGCACAGCCAAAGGAAACCAAAGAGCTCAAACACAATATGTTAGGTCCAATGGTCAGCCCAATAAAACATCATCCAAAACATAAGAAAACAAACCAAAACCAAACTGGTTTACAATCCGACTCAAAACACAAGAAAGAAAATCAAACCGTGGTGGGGTTGCCTCCCCACAAGCGCTTCTTTACCGTCTTTTAGCTGGACGCCCATGGTGGATACTCAGGGAGGTGCAGGAACAGGTGCCTCCAAGAGCGGATCCACGTCGCTCTTGAGGTACAGCTTAAGGTTGTGGCCATGCACCCGACGGATGCGACCAACATCATCTGTCAGCTCGACCTGGCCATCCGGTAAGATGCAGGCGAGTGAGTACCCGGATGGCCAGGGTAGTCGTGGTGCAGGAGGTGTGACCAGCTCATAGTGGTCTCCACCCTTCTTCCGTGCAGGCTTTGCAACCTGCTGCTTCGGCCGCCACTCCTCCTTGAGCTTTTTGTTCGGAGGCGAGGCTAGATGGAGTGGCGGCGAAGGAATGAGAGGAGGGTCCTGCAAAATAAGAGGTGCAGAAGGATACACGACATGCTCGTGTACCTGATTAGAAATGGCATGCACAGGTGTGACAGCAATCATAGCACAGTGATCAAATTCAGTCACAGAAAAAGTAGCCTGTTCATTCCCAGCACGCAAGATAAGTTTACCATCATGCACATCAATAAGTGCCTTGGCGGTGGCAAGAAATGGTCTACCCAGAATCAAAGGCACATCCACATCCTCATGTATATCAAGAATAACAAAATCAACAGGATATGTGAATGCACCGACACTGACAAGCAGATCCTCTATGATTCCCCTAGGATGCACAATGGAACGATCAGCTAGCTGAATGCTCATCCTAGTAGGGCTAAGTTCACCTAGGTCTAGCTTTTTATACAACTTATATGGCATGACGTTTATGCTAGCGCCTAGGTCCGCCAAGGACTTGCCTACATGCATGCTGCCAATAGTAAGAGAGATAGTAAAATTCCCTGGATCCTTGCGCTTTTCGGGCAGCTTGTTCTGCAGGATAGCAGAACACTCCTCGCTCAGCAACACTGTCGAGAGATCCCCAAGTTTCTTCTTGTTGGTGAGGAGGTCTTTCATGAACTTGGCATACTTGGGCATCTTCGACAGTGCCTCCACGAACGGTATGCTGATGTTGAGCTGCTTCAACATTGCCATAAACTTGGCAAACTCAGTCTCCAGCTTGTCTTTGTGTAGGCGAGTGGGGAAGGGAAGCTGGGGCACATGCTCCTTAACCACTGGTTGTGGCTTGGGAGCAGGGGCTTCCTTCTCCACCCGCACTTCTGCATCGTCGGCTGGAAGTGCTGAAGCAGGTAGTGGTTCCTCCTGTCTGGCCGGGACAGGATCAGCAGATATGGTTTTACCGCTCCTGGTAAAAATGGCATCTAGCTGCTGGTGCTGGTGAGGATCCCAAGGATTCGGGATAGTGGTGGCAGGCAAAGTCCCCGGCGCCCTGGTGGTGTTTTGGCGGGCCAAGATGCCCACCTGGGTCTGCAGATCCTGCAAAATGGCACCCTGGTTCCGCTTACCTGCCTCCAGTGACGTGATAGCAGCCTGAGTGCTAGTCATGAATGAAGCTAGAATATTTTCCAGCTTTGTCATCCGGTCATCTGGGGCTGGAGCTGCTGCTGGCTCGGCGAACTGGCGCTGGGGCTGCTGGAATGGTTGCCCCTGCCTAGGATGGTAGGGCTGCTGTTGTGGGGCTAGCCCTTGTCGAGCCTGGAAGGGCTGCCTCTGCTGAAAACCACCTGCTGGTGCTGGGAAACCAGGTGGTTTAGTGGTGTTGCTGCTCCAGGCGAAGTTGGGATGCTGGCGCCACCCCTTATTATATGTGTTACTGTATGGATCGAGGCGCCGCGCATTGGCGATGAAGGCCAACTGCTCCTGGGGTGTGGTAGACTCCCTCATAGCCTGGCAGTCCTCCACTAGGTGATTGGAGCTCTCACACCACTGACATTGAGCTACTGGAGGTGTAGCCATACCACTGCCCGGAATAAGACTGTTGGGCTGCTTCAATGTCTGCACTAGCTCAGCTACTTGCTGCTCGAGCCCGGATCTGGTCTCCATGGCGTGCACACCACGGTCCCGGGACTGTCTGCCTCGGCTACCCTGTCCCCAAGAATGATCTCTGGCAGCCAAAGTACTGATCATCTGGTTCAGCTCGGGTGGAGTCTTAGTAAGAATATCCCCTCCTGGGCATAGAGACTCAATCACCCTCTGCTATCTGGAGAGAGGGCACTGTAGAAGTTCCCCACTGTGAATGCATCACTGAAGCCATGATGGGGACACTGCCAGAAATAGCCCATGTACCGCTCCCAAGCATCACGAAGTGACTCATCTGGCTCTTAGCGGAAGTGAGTGATCTCCCGCTGGATTTCTGTAGTCTTCGATGCCGGATAGTACCTGTGCACAAACTTGTCAGCCAGATCGTCCCAAGAGGTGATGGACAATGGGGGCTGGGTCTCAACCACCTCTTAGCATTCCTCGCCAGAGAATGGGGGAAGAGATGAAGGCGGATTGCATCATCCGGGACACCATTTAGCTTGAACATGTTCGTCAGCTGCAGAAAACGGGAAAGATGCACCCTGGCCTCCTCATCCTTCAAGCCATGGAACTGGATAGAGGATGTAATGAGCTGAATCCAACATGGCTTGATCTCTAAGTTGTTTGCTGGAATAGGCGGGTAGAGGATGACCGGGCGGATGTCAGCAATCCACGGAGTGTAGTAGTACTCCAAGGTGGGACCCGGCTGCGGTGGAAAATTTTACCCCCTTTGAAAAGCTCCATAACAAACCACCTGACCTCTCCATTATCAAAGTTTTTGGTTGTCTGTGCTTTGCCAGTACACTAGCAAACCAAAGAACCAAGTTTGATCCTAGAGCTAGAAAGGGTGTTTTCATTGGTTTCAGTCCTGGCATAAAGGGTTATGGAATTTATGATCTTTCCAACCATGATATTTTCACCTCAAGAGATGTCCAATTACTTGAACATCATTTTCCCTTTCAAACACCACTACAACCACCACTGATCCCCTCCTATATCCCATCACTACTGATCCTATTATGTTTGAGAATACCAGCCCTCCATATTATTCCTCTCACACCCCTAGTCCATTTCCGTCCTCTAATTCACATTCCAACATCCAACATTTTGATTCTGACACATAACCATATTATTGATGTCCATCACTTTCCACCATACCTTCCCTACCACCATCACAACCTACCAGAAAATCATCCAGAACCACCAAACTACCTCCTATACTTCAAGACTACCACTGTTACCTGCTTCAGCAGATTCCTTCCATCAGTCATCTTTCTTTGCAGCAGACTCCAAGTATCAGTCATTCATTAACTTAAGTCATTCACTATGATAGCTCAATCTCACAAACACTTTGTGTTAAACATCTCATGTCACAAAGAACCAACTACCTATAAGGAGGCAATCCTATCTCCCTACTGGAATGCTGCTATGGATGTTGAAATGCAGGCTCTTGACAAAAACCACACTTGGGACATTGTTGAAGCTCCAAAAGGCATTTGTTTGATTGGTAACAAGTGGACTTACATGCTCGAATTTCTACCTAATGGCACTTTTGAGAGATACAAAGATAGACTGGTAGCCAAGGGCTACAGCCAGCAAGAAGGTGTACTCTATCATGACACATTTGCCCTAGTAGTCAAGATGACAACAATAAGGTTGTTCCTAGCGATTGCAGCATCACAAAAATGGCACATCCACCAACTAGACAGGGTTCAAGAATCCTGTTTGCAAAATCAGGAAATCTCTCTATGGTTTGTTAAATTGGTAGAAAAACTTCACACTCAAGGTTATACCTCCAATAAGGTTGATCATTCATTATTTTACAAACCAAACTCTAACTCTTACACTTGTGTATTGG